GCGGGTCACCGGCGCGGCGGGCGTCGCCTGCGGGCGTCGCCGGCGGGGTGTCGCGGAGCCACGCCGAGACGGCAGCGGCGCTCCAGCGAGCGCTCCACGACAACGCCACGCTCCGCGAGTCGCTCGATGAGTACAAGGCCAAGGTGGCGGTACTCGAGAGCATGCTCGCCGAGTACTCGGCCGGGCGCAAGTGAGCGGCGGATGCGGCAGTTTTACTCCTTCGGCGCAAGGCCAAAGGCCACGTGGCCGCAGCGGTAGAAGAAGAGGCGCAGCGGAGTGACGAGCTCCTGCGGCATCTCCATGTGGACCATGTTGCCTGCGCCCCAGACCGGGACCCACGAGGCCGACTCGGAGTTGAACGCGCCGAAAAAGTCGACGACATCGTCGTAGTAGTACGAGTCACGGCCGACAAAGAAGATGACCGGCGTGGTGAGACTGGCGAGCGCCGCGTCGTCGAGCGGCGGGCGCGCCATGTAGCTCGCGATAAACTTCCACAGGTTGGTCGCCTTGACGTTGGCCAACGCCTCCTGGTACGTCAGCCGCATCAGGCCGCCCTCGTCGGCCTCCTCACGCCAGGTAAAGTACCGCTGCATTAGCTGGTCCTTGACGTACCCGTCGACGCCCCACCACGAGAGCCAGAACTGCGACGCGTGCGAGTACGCCCACTCGAGCCACCCGGGCGCTTTGTGTGTCGCTCCAATGACCACCAGGCCCTTGACCCGGTGCGCCGCAGAGAGTGCAAAGTGGGTTAGCACCGTCCCGCCCGCGCCCACGCCCATCAACACTGCGCTCTCCACCCCAAACGCGTCCATGACCGCGCCGACCTGCTCCACCAGCTCGCCAAACTCGGGATACGGTGCGTCGGCCGCCATCTCGGCCTCGCCGGCAGCCTGCCCAGGCGCATCGATGGCGTAGACGGCAAAGTACGGGAAGAGCAGCCGCCGGATCGGCATGTAGTTGAAGAACTGCGTAAACGAGAGGCCCACATCCAGCCCAATGTCGCCGTACGCCACCACCGCTGGCGCTCCGACTCTGCCGAACACCGTCACCTGCACCGCCCCACCGGGGACGTCCACGACCTCAATCTGTAGCCCCTCGCCCTTGTCGATGAGTTGTACGCACCGCGACAGCCGCGCTGCGCTCCCCATGTCGCCTGCCCCCTCCCCCCCCCCCTCCCCCTCTCCCGCGCGAGTCCCTTTCCCCCTCTCCCCTCCTCCTTCTCCTCCTCGCCGCCTTCCCGGTATCCCCCCGTTCGGCGGTGGATGTCCCCCTCCCTCGCCGTCCCGTCTTCCTCACGTACGGTCTGTGGCACGCCCTCGATGGTCGGCCCCCGTCGTCTGCGGAGAGGCCATCCATGTCGACCATGTCTGCTTCAATCACTGTCGGGCCCATGCCCATATCATCTTCAGACACCGAGTTCTTGCCCTTCTCCCAAGCCTCGTCCATGGTGACTGAGAGTGAAGGAGTGCCAGCCGACCGACTCGGGCAGCCGGCGAGCGGGTTGGCGCCCGAATCGTCAGTCGGTCGGTCGGTCGGGTGGCAGCCGGCGAGCGGTTGGCGGACGGTGCCTGTCCCCTCCCCTTCCCCTCCCCCCTCCCCCTCTCACCTCACCCCCTCCCCCCCTCACCCCTCCCCCCTCCTACTACCACCACCCATGGGGTGCAAGGCCAGTAAGGCAGCTCCTCCGCCCGGACACCCACGCCCGCTCAAGGGTGTGGCGCCCGAGCCTGGGTCGTCTCCTGCTGGCCACAAACCGCGCCAAGCCGATGACGGACCGTATACCGGCGTCATGGCGGGCATGCGACCCATTCGTGTCTCCTCGGTCGCCTTCTCTCCTGCTCAGGCTCAGCGGGCACACAGGGCTGCTGCCGACAACGCACACGCGCCGCCGGTCTCACCAGCCGCAATCAAGGATCGCGCCCGGCGCTCGGACCCTCCACCCTACCACGGCAACGGTTTTGTGTCGGCCAGCGACGCCGGCCATCCGCAAAGCCATCCAACGTTATCTTCGTCAGACTCGGCGTGCTCACGATCGGCCTCACCGCCAGCCTCGCCTCTCCCTCGCCCGTCGTCCTCTGCATTCTCTTCCGCTGCTTCATCACCATCGTCGTCGCCGTCGTCGTCGTCGTCGTCGTCATCGTCGTCGGCGCTCGAGTCGTCGGCGCCGCATGACATCGAGCCCATCCTCGCGCCCGACGCAAGCATAGCAGCCGACGCAGCGGTAGACGACGGTGGCAACGATGGAGCTACCGATGTCACCGAGTTTACACGCGAGGACGAGAACAACATTTTTCTACTCAACGACGACTACATCTTCCGCGAGCGGATCCACACCGGGACTGACGTCGTCGTCTACCGCGCCTACATGCGGGCCCAGCCCGGCGAGGCCGAGTTTGGCTCGCACCGCGGCCCGGAGGTTGCGGTCAAGGTCATCCGCGATCCCGAGTACTTTGAGTACGTGGCGCGCGCCGAGGAAAAGGCCACCCGCGCGTCGACCACCTCTGTCGACGCCCTTCGCCCGCCGCTGCCTGTCCAACTGATGCAGGCTGCTGCAGCTACCGCATCGCTTCTTGACCTCCCGCAGGTCCCCATCATTCCACTCGTTTCGTGGCATGCCATGCCCGAGACCGAGTGCTTTGCCACCGTCACGCCGTTCATCCATGCCCGCGGCGTCGACTGCGACTCGATGGCTGACGTTGCCCACTACATTTCGGCCGTGCTCACCGCGCTCTCCATCCTCCACGACGCTGGCATCATTTACCGCGACGTCAAACCCGACAACGTGGTCATCGACGCCGACACCTCGGCCGTCTATCTCATCGACTTTGACATCTCCACCTTTTACAACACCCGCCACGGCCACTACTCGTGCATCGGGACGCATGGGTACATGGCGCCCGAGGTTGAGGCCATGGACACGGTTCATGACGACGACGAGGACGACGAGTCGTTCTTCTCGCGTGTCCGAGGCTACACCCTCGCTGCAGACATGTACTCGGTCGGCGTCATGCTCGGCGAGTGTCTCTTTTCTGACACTCTCGACGACTTTGGCGTCCGCTCCAACCCCGCCACCATCGAGGCTCTGCTCGCTGCTGCCGCCGCCGATCCTAATGCATTTGGCGGCAGCAAGGTCCGGCTTGCCGCCGCCGACCTTGCCCGTCAACTGCTCGCCCCGGTCTCAGCCGACCGTCCCTCGGCCGCCGCTGCCCTCACCCACGCCTTTTTCAAGCTCGCATGATAGCACATCATGGCTTTTACACTTGAACATTACACTCGACCGCTCGTCATGCGAGCCCAAACTCGGATCCAAGCCCGTTGTCAAACGCGGTGAGGAACTTGGCCTCGAGCTCGTCGGTCGACCCGTAGAGTGGGAGGTCGATGACCGCATGGCAGGTGTGAGCCGCCGGCAGCAGCTCGCTCGCCGCCACGTGCTGCACGCGAATCTTACCCTCGGGCACCATCGGCGCTGCCGTGGCGTACTCGAGGAACGCCTTAACGTGCTGCATCGCCTCAGTACCCCACTTGCGGAGGACCGCGACGAGTTGCGCCTTTGCAAGGCTCGCGGTCTCGTCATCAGGATACTCGATAAACTCGAGCTTGGCTACCACCTCCTCCACGTCGACAACCTTGGCGCCGCAGAGGAGCGCCTGCAGCGACGTCGGCGAGAGAAGGACCATCTCGTCGCCAAGAAGCGGCGCAATGACGTCATAGAATCCACACGCAATGGCCGCCAGCGACTCGGCTCGCCCACGCCCAAGCAAGTCGTGCCTCACCACTGCCGCCACGTACGCCGACGTCCGCTCGCGCGTCACCGTCCCGCCACTCTTGGCCCCGGGCGCCACATCGAGGAACGAGAGGTACAGCTCTTCGGGCGCGGCTACGTTGAGTAGCTCGCCAAGCGCCGCGGCCTTGACAGGATCAAACGCCGCAAGGTCGTCGAGCCCAAGCGCGAGCTTGGCGCTCGTCTCGGCCGCCGCCGCCGACAGCGCGCTCAGCATCTCTGCCTCGCCGCCGGCCGCTGCCAGCTTGCATCCGGCCATAGCCGGTGCTGCCGCAAGGAGGTAGCTGTACAGCGGGCGCGCAAAGACGTCTTCGATGAGGAAGCCGTCGAGAAAGCACTTGCCGAGGACAAGCCCGATCGAATGGAACGCCTTGGCCATGTCGTGCGCGTCCATGACCGCGTCGATGCAGGGCTCGCCAAGCGGGAGCGCCACAGGCATGGCGCCACCGTCGGCAACCTCAAACAGCGGCTTGCCGCGGAACTTGACATAGCCCCCGGGCACGCTGCCAAACTCGTCGTCGTCGTCGTCGCCGGCACTGCTCCGCGCCGACCGGTACGGAAACGGTGTGTGGATGAGGGCACGGAAGACGTGGGTGAACATGTCCGACGAGAGCCCACCGGCGTCGACGCCGCGCTCACCGTCAAAAGCCACGTTGAGCCGGAAGCACCAGTCAGGCCGGTCGAGGACTGCAATTTTCTGGAAGACGTTGAGCGCGTCGCGGACTAGGTACATCCGCCGGATGATGATCTTGCCGACCTTGGCCCTGCCGGCGTTGTAGACTCGCGCGCGGATTTTCTTGAACAGCGCCACCAGTCGGACTTCCTTCGCGTTGTACGCCGACGGCTCGCACCCGATGCTGGGCGCGACCGGCGCCACAAACAGCGGATGCCGGAGCAGGATGCTTCCGCCAGCGCCGGGCACGCTCGCCAGCGCCGCCTCGAGCTGGCTTGTCGGCTGCAGGAGATAGGCGAGGAACGAGGCGAGGAGCGGTGCCTCGGCCGCCACTCTCCTCGCCGCCCACACCGCCCGTTCGCCGTCGACCCGGACCACCGGCCCGCCTCCGGTGAGCTCGGCAAAGAGGGCCACCGCGAGGTCGCCGAGCTCTGCGAGATCGCGCGCCCGCGCCGGCAGCAGCGCGTCGCCGCCACCGCTCGGCACGGCAAGCTCCCGGGTCGGCGTATTGCTCAGCGAGTTGACCGGGTCGGACGACGCGCTAAAGTCGCAGAGCACCGGCGAGCCGTCGGCAGTGACCACCACGGCGCCGGGAGTGGTGAGGTTGAGCCCGGCAATGCCGGCTTCATGGACGTAGTGGACGGCGCTCGCAAGCTGCCGCAGAAATGTGAGCTTGATCTCGTGCTGCGCCCGCGCCGTGTGCGCCGACTCGGCGAGCTCGGCCATCCAACGGCTCACTGACGCGTGTGCCACAGCCGGGACCGCCACCTGCCAGCTTGTCCGCGAGCCGCCGCTGCGGTAAAAGGCCACCAGCCGCGCTACCGCCGGGTGGCTCAGTCGCTGCAGCGCCGACAGGTGCCGGATGAGCGCGTGCCATTCGTGCGGCGTCGAGGTGCGGAAGCTCCGCACCAGAACCTCCACTCCTGTTGTCCGTTCCTGCATCAGCACCACGCTACCTGGCCCAGAGACTGCATCGCTGTCGACGAGCTCAAACTCATCGCCCAGCTCCGCGTCGGCCCGGAACGCCTCGTGGGTCTTGAGCCCGAGCGGGAGGTGCCCGCCCGAGTGCATTTCGGGCGTAGCCGGCGCCTGGGCGCAGATCCACGCACTGTCATACGTCTGCGGCGCTGCCGGCGCCAGCGTCCGTCCGTACGCAGCCTCGAAAGCGGCCAGCTGCTTCCGGGCTTCGGCGTTCTTTGCCTCGAGCACCTGCGCTAGCCGGTCGAGGGCGCCCTGCGAGCCGCCTTGGACCGCGAGTGACTCGAGCGCGAGCTGCGCCTCGGCCGCTGCCAGCGCTGCACGCTGCATGGTCATGTACGCGACCTGAGTGGCGTGCGGGAGGCTGGAGATCTGCGCGTGGCTCATCCGCGGGAGGCTGCTGCTGCCGAGTGCCGCGGCCTCGCGCCGCACCTCACGCAGAGACGGCGAGACCGACGGCGAGACCGAGTATGAGACCGAGGCCGTCCACGGCTCCTTGTCGGCATTCGGCGATGCCGGCGGTGAGCCAGACCGGACTTCAAACAGCGGAAAGTCCAGCGAGCTGCCGCCATCGGCGGCGCCGGCGCCGCCTCTCACGTTGCCACCGTCTGGCGACGAGAACAGCGACTCGACCAGAATTGACGACGACGACGCCGAGAAGAGCAACGAGCCGTCAGTCTCGGCCTCGCCCTGCCTCGCGTTGCTGCTGTCCGGCGACCAGCACGACGATGCGACCGAGACCGCGTCCCCAGCCTCGCCCATCGGCGACCAGAATGTCTCGGTCGCCAGCCCGCCACCGAGCGCCATCGCCTCCTTCGTCGGCGTCACCGGATGCGACGCCCGACCATCTCGCCCGTTCACCTCCTCCAGCACACTGCCGTGCGTTCGCAGCATGCCCTGTGCCATAGCCGTGGTTCGGGAGACGTGGTCTTGCCTGTGGGGTGCAGTGCGCAACGCAGTCGCCGTACTGCAGCAGAGAGACTGGTTTGGCGCCAAAGTGGCACTGAGGCAATTGCAAATCACCTGCCATTTACCAACAAACCAACGAACGAACGAACGAACGACCGAACGAACGGCCACCAATCAGCCGGCCAGCCAGCCAGCCAGCCACCGCCAACCATTGCCAGCCACCGCCCGGCCACCGCCAACCACCATTGCCAGCCACCAGCCACCATCATTGCCAGCCACCAGCCACCGTTTTCATCGTCTCACCCACTACCCCCCCCCTCCCCCCCCTCCCCCTCCACCCCATCAACCCTATCAACCCCATCGCCACCCCATCTTCCCCTCCCCTCCCCCCCCCCCCCTCGTACACCGCTACCCCTCCCTCTACCCCTCCCCTCCCCATCCAACCATGGCGGGTGTGGCCACCGGCTTTGATGCTGGGCAAATTTTCACCTCGGACCAGGAGCTCGTCCCCCGGTCGGCGGCATCGCTGCAGCCTTCGGACGCCCGGGCCAAGTTCCTCAACTTTATTCGCAACTTCCGTGACGGTAACGTCTTTACCTACCGCGACCAGCTCCGGGCCAACTACGTCCTCCGCAAGTACCAGCTCGAGGTCCAGCTCGAGCACCTCAAGGCCTACGACGAGGCGCTGGCCGACACCCTGGTTGAGGCGCCGGCAGAGTATGTGGAGCAGTTTGAGCTGGCGGCCAAGGACGCGGCCAAGCAGATTTTTGCGCCCGGAGGCTCGGGCGGCGCGCTGCCTGACGACGACCCGCTGGCGGCGGGTAAGGAGGGCGCTGCGGGTGGCGTGGGCGGCGGGCTGGGCGGCGCAGGCGCCGCCGGCGGCAGCCCGGCTATTGCCGACATCCAGGTCATGCTGCAGACCACGTCGGTGCCCATCCAGCTCCGGGACCTTATGTCGGTCCACATCTCGCGCCTAGTCTTTATCCGTGGCATCGTCATCTCGGCGTCGCGGACCCGCGCCAAGGCCGCCGGCATCGTCGTCCGTTGCCGGACCTGCGCCGACGAGCAGTTGCTCAAGGGCCGGCTCGGCTTCTCGGGCATCGTCGTCCCGCGTAAGTGCCTCCGCGCCCGCCAGGGCCAGGGAGACGACTGCGGCCTCGATCCGTACCTCATTGTCGCCGACAAGTCCGACTACGTCGACCAGCAGACGCTCAAGCTCCAGGAGTCGCCTGAGGACGTGCCCACCGGTGAGATGCCGCGCCAGGTCCTCCTCTCAGTCGACCGCAACCTGGTTGACAAGGTTGTGCCCGGAACCCGGGTCGCTCTCGCCGGCGAGTACACCACCTTTTCCGGCGCCACCCGCCGCTCGCGCTCGGCCGGCCTCCCCTCGCCGTACGTCCGCGTCATCGGCATGCGCATCGACGAGGATGGCACCGGCCGCGCCTCCACCTCGTTCACCCCCGAAGAGGAGGAGGAGCTCCGCGCCATTTCGGAGCAGCCCAACATCTATAACCACATTGCGGACTCGATTGACCCGGCCATCTTTGGCCACGAAGACATCAAGAAGGCCATCGCCTGCCTCCTCTTTGGCGGCGCCCGCAAGCAGCTGCCCGACGGCATGCGCTTGCGTGGCGACATCAACGTTCTACTGCTCGGTGACCCCGGAACAGGCAAGTCGCAATTCCTCAAGTTTGTCGAAAAGGTCGCGCCCATCGCCGTCTACACCTCGGGCAAGGGCTCGTCCGCCGCAGGTCTCACCGCCTCGGTCATCAAGGACCCGTCGTCGCGCGAGTTTTACCTCGAGGCCGGCGCCATGGTTCTTGCCGACGGCGGCGTTGTCTGCATCGACGAGTTTGACAAGATGCGCGAAGAGGACCGCGTCGCCATCCACGAGGCCATGGAGCAGCAGACCATCTCCATCGCCAAGGCTGGCATCACCACAATCCTCAACTCGCGGACTTCCGTCCTTGCCGCCGCAAACCCGGTGTTTGGCAAGTACGACGAGACAAAGTCCGCCGCAGAGCAGATCGACTTCCGCGGCACCATCCTCTCGCGTTTCGACCTCATCTTTATCGTCCGCGACCAGAAGAATGAGGCCAACGACCGTCGCATCGCCCAGCACGTCATCTCCATCCACAAATCGCTTGAGATCGAGCGGACCGTCGGTGATCTGCCCATCCCGCTCCTCAAGAAGTACGTCGCCTACGCCCGCTCCAAGGTCTCGCCGCGCCTCTCCCAGGCCGCCGCCGACTCGCTCGCCAACCAGTACGTCAATATTCGCTCCTCTGTCCGCGAGGCTGCCCGCCAGTCGGGCCAAATGGCCACCTTCCCCATCACCGTCCGTCAGCTCGAGGCCATCGTCCGCATTGCAGAGTCGCTCGCCAAGATGGAGCTCGCTACCGTCGCAGAACCACGCCACGTCGATGAGGCCCTCCGCCTCTTCCGCGTCTCCACACTCGACGCTGCAGAGTCGGGCCACCTCGACATGGGGCCCATCTCCGAAGAAGAGAAGGTGGCTCTCGAGAACTGCGAGCGTCACCTCGCCAAGATCCTTCCCCTCGGCCACACCGCGCCGCTGCAGCGCATCGAGACCCAGCTGGTTCAGGCCGGTTACAAGGAGTACACCATCCGCCGCGCCATCGGTGCCTCCATCTCGCGCGGCGCCTACGAGCACACTAACCAGCGCCGCATGCTCCGCCGTGTACGCTCCTAGTTCTATCCCCTCCTCCCGCCCTCGCGCCCTGCATCACTCACGACACGGGCTCCGTAAATGTCGCTTGCGAAACAGCACACCTGTCACAATCTGCCCCCCCCCCCCCCCCGTCGCACATGGCATCCATCGCGGACCTCCCGCCCATTCCCCACCTCCCCTACCCCCACACAGCTGCGCACATGCGTGACGCTGCCAGCCGGACAGGCTTCTTCCTCGTCGACGACTTTGCCGGCGTTCCTCGCCACGTCGTCGACGCTGCTTTTGACGCCGCCGCTCGATTCTTCACCGCCGACACGACGACCAAGATCGCTGCCTGCGCCTGGGAGGCCGAGACTAATGCCGGCTATGTGGCCATTGGCCGGGAGAGGCTCGGCGTCTCCCACCCCGACGTCGGCAAGGAAGCGCTCAACCTGCCCCGCGACTCGGCCGCAACAGTCTTGGCGGCTGTTGCCGCCACCACGGACAAAGCCGACGCCGACGCACTCGCCGCGCTCCTCGATGCTGCCTCGGCTGCCGCCCTTGCTCTGCTGGCCGCCATCGGCGAGGCCATGGGCGACGACGACATTGCCGCCTTTGTCGCCGCCCACGATGCCTCGGCGGCGCCCGCCGCTACCTCGGGCACCACCCTCCGTGCCCTTCACTACTCGCCGATCACAGACAGTGACGGCGTTGTGGCTGTCGACGACGACGGCTGTGTCCTTCGTGCTGGTGCGCACACAGACTACGGCACCATCACGCTTCTCTTTCGCGATGATCGCGGCGTCGACGACAACGACCCAGCTTCCACTAGCGATGATCTGGAGGTCCTTGTCGGCAATGACTGGATCCGCGTCCCGGTTGTTCGCAATACCGTCGTCGTCAACGTCGGCGACCTCCTCCACGACTGGTCGACAGGCCTCTTCCCCTCCACACTCCACCGCGTCCGTGGCCGCGCCACCGCGCATCGCTTCGCCCTCGCCCTCTTTGTCCACCCGCACGACCACATCGCGGTCCGCAACATGCCCGGACTCACCGCCGGCGACCATCTGCGATCCCGTCTCGAAGCCAGCTACACTGGCACTCCCAGTCAGTCCTGACCTTGTCCCTAAACACATCGCCGTCTGCAACATGTCCGGCATTCACACGGCCTTTTCCGAACCCCGCCCACACTCGTCGACGGCCATGAACGCCCCTCCGCTGCACGCTGCCCTCGCCCGCACCCCCATCGGCTCAATCCGAGCTACTTCAACAAACGTTGTCGTCCTGGGCTCCATCGTTGCCCTCCGCTCACTCCGCTACTTTACCCGCAAGCGGCCGCGGAGAACCCCGGCGACTGTGCCTCACGATCATGATCGCGGGCTTGATCCCGGCCACGATCAACTCAGGCCCCGGCCTCTCGACTCGGCCCGCTCCGGGGTGCAGTCACCTCGCTTGTCATCCGCGATGGCACCGGGGACATCCTTGTCGAGGCGTGGGATGCTGCTGCAGAGGCGGTAGCTGCAGTAGCCGCAGCTGCGACTGCAGACGCCACCACGGCCGGCCTTGTCGCCTGCCTCGCCGTCGAAAACCCGGAGGTCAAGCCGCGCGACGCGAGCAGTTCCCACGGGCCGCGAACAACCTCGGCCTTTAAGCTTGTTCTCAGCTCGGCGACGGGGCAGGGCGTGGTCCCGGTCTCAGCTGGCGATGTCCTTGCTGCCACCAGCGCGTCGACGCTCTCGTACTTGCCGGATCACGTGGCTGGGGTTGGAAGCGGTGCGCTGACCGCGCTGGCGGCGGCGGTCGAGTTTCCGGTGCGGGCAAGCGGGAGCCGCGCAAGGTCGATCTCGCGGTTGTCCGCGTTGTTGCGCGCGAGTCCACCACCCGCGGTAAGCTCAAGCTGGTCCTGGTCGATGCTGGTGGGGCCCGCGCTGCACTCTACGTGCCTGACGATGTCGCCGCCTTTGTGGCGCCCGAGATCACCTCCGGCTCGCTCGTGGCACTCCACGGCGCCAAGATGCTTCCCGACTCGGGAGCTGGCGCGAGCCTGCCTGCACTCACTCTCCCGTTTGGTGGCTCGGTCACGCTCCTGCCGTCGTTTGAGGCGCCGGATGAGCTCGACGCCCACTTTGACGCGGCGGTGGCTGTCCACGCCCGGAAGACCCGCGCCGCACGCCTTCGGCAGACCTCGACGCTCCGTGCGCTTCTCAGCGACGCACCCGGAAGCCACAACGAGCTGCGCGAGACTACCATTGCCGAGTTGTCACGCAGCTCGTTTGCGCTGGGCTCGGACGCGCCGATCGGCGTCCTGCGCGGTGTCCGTGTTCTCGACTTTGGCCTCCCGTTTGCAGCGCGTGATCGCTCGCGGGCGTTTTACACCGCCTGCCCGCAGTGTTCACGCGCGATGCGGCCAATCTGCCCTTCAGGCCACGTGCTGGAGCCCGGGACAACCGGGCAGCCATGCTGGAGGGTCGAGATGCGGCTGCTCGACGAGACCGGTGTCACCGCACCGATCACGGTCTTTGGCGAGGTTGCGCAGACTCTGCTCGGCTCGCTCACCCACGCAGCGTACGCCACACTCTCCGACGACGCGGTCCTTGTCCTCCTCCACTCTTCGATCCTGTGGGCCACTGTCGACGCCGCGTTTGAACTCTCGGCATCGACCGGCGAGCTACGGCTGCTGGCGCTCCGGCGAGCGTAGCCTGCCGCCTTTGGTAAACGCTCTTGTCGATTTTCATTCATCGGTCGACGAGTACGAGAAGAGGTAGTCGTCGTCAAAGTCAGTCTCATCATCAGCGTCGCCAAACTCGGTGGCGACAACGAGCGCCGGCTCGGGGACAAGCCGCGGCGAGCGCTCAGCGCCCGACGACAGGCGACGGTCGCGCGGGCTCATGTGCGGTGAGACACGGAACGGAGCCTCGTTCTCGCGCGGCGTAGTCTCGCGCGAGGTGCGAGTCACCGGCAGCGGCTCCTCAACGAGCGGCTCGTCGTGGCCTTGGGCCGCGTAGTCGTTGAGCCGGGCCTCGAGGTCGCGGACCAAGTCGCGGAGGTCGGACATCTCGGTGATGTGGTTCGAGGTGGTAACTTGGAGCTGGCGGATGCGCTCGGCCTGGGTAGCGACGGTGGCGGCGAGGGCGCGCTTCTCGCTCTCGAGCGCCGAGACACGGTCTGCGAGCGAGGTGAGCGAGTCCTCGGCATGATCGACGACCGAGCCTGTGCCGTCGGCGTCATCAGACTTGCGCGACGCCGAGTCGCCACGAGAGCGGTCGCGCGAGCTGCGCCGATCGCGGGAGCGCGACCGTGACCGCTCGTGCGAGGCGGAACGGTCACGCGACGCGTGGCGGTGGGAGCGCGACGAGTGGTGCTTGTGGTGGCCCGAGCGGTGGTGGTGGCCATGCGACGACGAGTGGTGGCGGTGGCGGTGCGAGTGGGAGTGCGACGACGACGGCCGCTCGTTGCGGCCCGTCGGCGGCGTCTGCGACTCGGACGGAATGCGCTCAAGCGCGTGGCCGCCGCGGGAGGCGATGGGCGGGCGGCTCATCGACGGCAGCGCCGAATTGGCCGAGTCTGTCCGCTGGCGGACAAACTTGCCGAGGTCCGGAGTAGAGCGAGCCCAGCCGCGGTGCGGGGTCTCGAACGAGGTCGACTGCGAGCGGGCCGAGCCTGGGCCAGATGCCGGGTACTGGGCGTGAGCCGGGAGTGCAGAGAGAAAGTTGGTCGAGTTTGCACCTGACGAGCTCTCGCGGAGCCTGTCGGCGAGCTTGGCGACCGACTCTGAGCCGCCGCCACCGTCGCCGCCAAACATGGGCCGCGGCGTAGCCGAAGGCGTGGCGGCCGTCACCGGAGTAAAGTACGAGTCGAGAAGGGACTCGGTGAGGAGCGGCCACGACGGGAGCTCAACTGGGTCCGGCAGCGGCTCGAGCTCGATGCCAAGCGGCGGCTCGTACTCGAAGCGCTCGACGGCGTCAAAGTCATAGTCGGCAAACCACGGGTGCTTGAGGACGTCGCGGCCGGCGAGCCGCTTCTTAACTTTTTGAGTGAGGAGCGACTGCATGATGTCGAGACACGAGATCGAGAGCCCAAGTGAGGCCGGGACCTGGTTGGCGATGGGCGACGAGGTGTTGGGGTACTTGCCCACCATCATGACAAAGAGGCAGACGCCAAAGGCCCACCAGTCGACCCGAGTGTCGTACGACTTGGAGAGCAGAATCTCGGGCGCCATGTACTCGGGCGTGCCCACAATGGTCGACGTCCGCTTGGAGAAGATCTTCTTGGCGAGGCCAAAGTCGGTGAGCCGGACGTGGCCGTCGGCCGAGAGCAGCACATTTTCCAGCTTCATGTCGCGGTAGATGATGCCAAGCCGGTGGAGGTGGAGGATGGCAACGGCAGTCTCGGCCGCGTAGAACTTGGCCGTCGCTTCGGGGAAGATGTTGTGCGGCTGGCGCGAGAGGAGGCGGAAGAGGTCGCCGCCGGGCAGAAAGTCCATGACGATACAGATCTTGCGCTCGGTCTGGAAGGCGTACCGGAGGTTGACCACCAGCGGTGATGCCGACGCCGCGCCCTGCAGCACCTGCTCTTCCACCGTCTGCTCCACCATTTCGGTCTTGATCAGCGTGTCCTTCTCCATCACCTTCATGGCGTAGACCTCGTAGGTGTGGGCGAGCGAGACGAGAATGACGGCGCCCCACGTGCCGATGCCAAGGTTGCGGATGTAGCGAAAGTCCGAGAGCGACGCCGCAGGCACCTGCCCATGTCGCGCAAACAGCAGCGAGTGCTGGTCCGACGCATCGTCGCCCAGTGCGTACGAGAGCCACCCGTGGGCCGTGCCCTTGTCACCCCAAACTGACATGACGAGGTGGCGGCGGTTGGGGGGGAGGGGAGGGGGAAATGCGGCGGTGGTGGTGGGAAGAGGTGGAGAGGTGTGAGGAGAGCAAGAGAGAAAGAGAGTATGTGTATGGGTGGGTGAGTAGGGGGGGGAGGGGACTGCTTGCCTCGGAGGCGCCGCGTGGCTTGGTCTTGGTCCAACTGCCCGGGATGTCGCTCCGATCGACTGCCGGCACAGCTGCCGAGCCAAAGTCGCATGGCAGATGGAGGTTTTACCGTCTGGCTTGGCTTCGTTTGGCTGGTTACGGGTCGGCCGGGGGGCTGGCAGTCGCCTCATATGCTGCATCGTAGTCAAGGCTCGCGGTATCGTACATGTGCTCGGCGATGACGTGGTTGGCCTTGTTGGCCGCCTGGGCGCGCTCCAGCATCGAGCCGGTGAAGCCGAGGAACTTGTTGCGGAGGAAGCCGGTAAAAGCGCCGCGGGTGTGCGAGGTGGTGGTGGCAGTCCGCCCCCGAAGGACCATAGCGGTGCCTGCTTCAAAACGGAGCGCGTTGTACGCACGCAGCGCGTGGGCGATGTCGATCTTGCCGGCAGCGGCGTCGGCAACAGTGTGAGCGAGTACGGCGGCGTCCTCGAGAGCGGCGACGGCGCCGGCGCCCGAGAACGGTGACATCGGGTGCGCAGCGTCGCCGATGCGAGCACCCAGCACCTCGCCGTCGTCACCACTCACCAGATACGAGCCAACGGCGGCCGGGTCGCGATCACGGAGCTGGTGGATCCGGAGCACGTCGGACGGCGTGCCGTCGAGTGAGGCGGCGACCGCAAGCGAGTCGGAGGCGAGCAGGCCGGCGTCGGCGGCGAGCGCGGCGACCCGGGCAAGGCCACGCTCGCCATCCGGGAACGACGCGTCTTCGGGCGAGTGGAACGTGACAGCCCACTGCGAGCGGCCGCCCGGGAGAACACGTGCAAACCACGAGACGCCGCGGCCGAGCGCAAGCGTGGCGCCGCCCATGGCGGTGACAGCCTCGGCGGCAGCAACCGAGTCTGACACGCCGCGGACGGTCTTGAGGCCAAGATCCAGCAGTGGTGCGTCGTCGTTGGGCGCAAGCACCGAGTGGATGCCGTCGGCAGCAATGACAAGGTCAAAGTCATCGGCGCCGCCGTCGGCATCGGTGGCGACAACGGTGCGCCCGGCACCCGGCACGTGCGCCACACTCGCCAGCGCGCGGTCTTCGGGCGCTGGTGCAGCGCTATCGGCGAGAGCCGCAATCAGCGCCGCCCGCTCAACCGAGATCATCGGGTAGCCGTATGGCGCGTAGTCAGGCGCAGCGGCCGGGGCAAGGCGCAGCAGCTCATCGCCGGCAGCATCGGTGGTGACAAAGGCGTCAATGGCGACAGAGGCATCGTCTGCCGAGACAGCAGGCCACACACCAAGCGCAGCGTCGAGGACGCGGCAAGCCGACGGCGTCAGCGTCATGCCACCCCACCAACCATCGACCGGACGATGCGGCTGCCACACAGTGATGTCTGCAGCAGACAGCGGGCAGCGGGCGCGCAGGGCGCGGGCCACGGCCAGGCCGGCCACGCCGCCACCTGCAATCAGGATGCGAAGGGCCATATTTTCCAGTGTGTGTACAACAACAAGAAGGGGGGGGGGGGGGGGGGCGAGAGGAGGAGGCGAGGAAATCTGCCGGGAAGGTTGGCCGGTCAACCCCTCGGCTGTGCGTGGATGGAGGCGCAGCGAACGGTGTCAAATAGGCGAAATGGAGCAAATCTGGAGGACGCACGGCCAGCTGCACACGGCTGCCGCTGCCACGTCGCCGGCCAACTTTGCCCGCTCAATATGGGCCCACTCCTACTTCCCCACCTCCCTCCCCACCTCCTTCCTCGCACACTTCACCCCTCCCTCCCCCACCCTCCCCCCCCCCACTCCTACCCATGCTCCACTCGACCTCGTCCACCAACGTGTCGTCCATGTGGGGCTCCAACGGCGCTGTCCGCCGCATAGCCTCGGTCAACAACATGGGCACGCTCCACCGCATGGAGGCCGGCCTTGCCTCGCCGCGCCCACACGCTGACGCCGGTGCTGTCTCGGACGCACCGCCTGCCCTCCCGCTGGAGGCGCTCATCGAGCCGGTAGAGGCAGAGTCGGACGCGTCGGATGCCAAGGGTCTCGACAAGAAGGTTCTGGGCGGGCCAGCCAGCAGCGACCTCGGCGAGCACGGCTCGCGCGAGGCAGCCTTTGTCATGGCCCATCCCAAGCGCTCGGTCGTTGCTGCGCTGTGTGTGTACATGGCGGCAAGCTTTGCGCTTATTCACACCATGAACTACGTGCACTATCACCTGCCAGAGCAACCGCCGCTCCCGGATCTGGGCCACGAGTACATCCCCATGCTGCGGCCCGAAAACCTCGGCGACTACCCCATGTTTGTCTCGGTCTTTGTTGTCGTCTACCTCGGCGGCTACCGCCACCGCTCGCAGTTCTACAAGATCGTCACCCGCATGTGGATCACTCAGACCGCGCTCTACATCCTCCGCATCTTCACCATCTCCATGACGAATCTCCCGGTCACCGACAACCACTGCAGGTACTCGCGCGAGGAGATCTCGTCCTTCTGGCTCAACACCATGAACGGCCTCGCCACCATGGGCCTCGCCAACGTTCATTGCGGCGACCTGCTCTTCTCCGGCCATTCGATCATGATCGTTATCTTCTGGCAGATCACACACACCTACTTTCCGCAATACCGCGGCCTCAATTGGCTCGTTACCTTCTGCACCCTCATGGCCTTCTTCTTCATCGTCGCCACCCGCTCACACTACACTGTTGACGTCATCATCGGGTGGTTCGCCACAATGTGCACATGGAAGCTGGTGCCCAACTATTGGCCCTACGCCCTACGCGACTCGTAACTCCCCCCCCCCCCCCCTCCCCCCCTTCCCCGTTTCTGTCCACGCCATCTGATGATGCAAGTACAGGTACAGGATCCCCCTCCCCCCGCCCTCCCGCACCCCTCCATCATTGAACACCGTTCATCTCCTTCCTAACTTGCTTACTACCCCCCCCCCCCCCCTCCACCTCCACCTTGCTCGTCAACCACCACTCACCTGCCACTGGCACTGCCTTCGCACGAAAAGCAACTCCTCGCGCCTTGCACACCTGTGAGCACCCCTCCCCTCCTCACCCCCTCCCCCCCCCCCCTCCCCCACTCCCGGCCATGGAGGAGCGTGTGGCATGCTTCGCCTTTGAGCGCCAGACCGCCAATGACCTCGCCTTCAAGGTACGCCCATCGCCCCCCCCCTCCCCTTCCCCCCCTCTCTCCACGCCCCTATCGTCTGGCATCACCAATAACCCG